ATATATATATATATATATATATATATATATATATATATATATATATATATATATATATATATATACTGTATATATATATAATTTATTTATTTTTTACCAGATAACAAGACTACATCTTAAGTAATTTTGCTTCTCAAGTAAATGTATCTATATTCAAGAATGTTTAGATATTTGTACTAGAATTTGTGGTTAAATTGATGTTTTTACTGGCGTAAAATCAAGACAAAAATATTAAGAAAATCTTTTTGTTTTGTTTTTTTGCGGTGTGATATCCGAAACCTGCTCTGCTCTTTCTTTCATTCATAAATTGAGCGTCCTTGTTTGAGAGCGTAAAAGAATAAAACAAGTTTCAATGCTGGTATTTATCTTATCTAACCGACACTGACTGTCTTTTTGACCATCTGGTGTCATTTCTATGGCGTGGCAGTTCGATAACCTTTGGAAAAGGAACATTCTAGCTGATGCTATCATTGTCGATTATCCAGTTGATCCAAGAGACGTAGTTGCGGACTTTGGTGTAGACTCCTGGGAAATACTTGTTGGCACAACTGATGCCCCAGGACACGATCCCCTCAAAATACCCATTACAGATGAGAGGCCCACCAGAGTCGCCCTGCAGCCAAACAACCACAGGATCACACAGTGCTAAGGGTTCTATGATGCTGTTTGCTTAATTAAAAATATAATGTGTATGCATATCGTCTCTTTTCCTCTCTGTGTTTTGGGTTTCAGAATAAAAACCCTGCTGCTCGGATTCACCTGGCAGGAGTCTTTGCCGCCCAGCGGGGAGCCGGCGCACACCATGTTGTCTGTGATTCTGTAGTAGTAGTAGTATTGACACTGAGGGATGATCTGGACGTCCACAGCACGCAGGACGGGGGACAGGTAATAACTGTAGACCTGAGTGACGCCCCAGCCGCTCACCGTGCAAACTGTGCCCCCTTGTAAGGGAGCGAGTGAGGTTGGCAGCACAGCCGGCTGAATGTTGGCATTGAGCTCTGCAGGCTTTTCAAGCTAATGCACAAATCCAACAATGAATGGAAATGAAAAATATTATCATTTGCGTTTTTAACTGTTGATAATATTATATATTATTGATAATTCAATTTTGATAATAATCAGAAATGTTTCTTGAGCAGCAAATCAGCATATTAGATTGATTTCTGAAGGATCATGTGACACTGAAGACTGGAGTAATGATGCTGAAAATTCAGCTTTGCATCACAGGAATAAAATTGTAAAATATTTTACATTACACATATTACACATTTAAAAATATATTACAGGAGTAAATTGCATTTTAAAATATATTAGAGTAGAATAAATTAAAACCAAAAATATTGTGAAATATTATTACAATAAAAAAACTAATGAATTGTAATAATATTTCACAATATGATTTTTCACTCTATTTTTTCCATTAACATGTTTTTTTTTTCAGTTTGTTACTTGATATTATTATATATATGCATATATATGCATATAACAAACTGGAAAAAAAAATATTTCCTAAAGATTTTTATTTATTTACTAGAAAGGAAATAGTAGTTCAGTTTGTTACATGCTGTTACCATATATGTGACCCTGGACCACAAAACCAGTCTTAAGTAGCTGGGGTATATTTGTAGCAAAAGCCAAAAATGCATTGTATGGGTCAAAATTATTGATTTTTCTTTTATGCCAAAAATCATTAGGATATTAAGTAAACCTCATGTTCCATGATGATATTTTGTAAATTTCCTATCGTAAATATATCAAAACTTAATTTTTGATTAGTAATATGCATTGCTAAGAACTTCATTTGGACAACTTTAAAGGCGATTTTCTCAATATTTAGATTTTTTTGCACTCTCAGATTCCAGATTTTCAAATAGTTGTATCTCGGCCAAATGATGCAGATGATGCATAAATCTCAATTTCAAAAAAATTGACCCTTATGACTGGTTTTGTGGTCCAGGGACACATATGTTTGTTACTTCCTAAACTAGGATACTAGGATAAATAAACATAGACTTATTAACATATGTGCACATTTTTATATATTTCATGCTTGATGAACTTACTTTCAAGAGCATAATGTCACTATCAAATGTCCTGTAACTGTACATGTAATTCACCAGAACTCTGGACACATTGAACACCTGCTCAACACCCTCTTTACTGGAGAGGTTATGCTCACTCAAAACCACTTTGATTAAATAGCTCCTGCGAACAGAGTAGACAGCAGAACCCAACATTACCACATCAGTACAGTCAGAGTAAAGATTTGGCCTACCTCAAATACTCTAGCATGCTTGGTGTGTTCAGTTCCTTGTCAATAAAGGTGAATTCTGACTGAAATACTCACGGTCTCCAGCAATGAGCGGCAGTAACCACCCACTGTCGGTGTATGAGCGTTCCTCCGCAGTAATGGTAGTTGTTGTACTGGATAGAGGCCTGGTACTTTATGGAGTAGGGCTCAACCTCCTGTCCTCCAATGATTCTCTGCTGCAGTGAGCCTGTGAATGATAAAGCGAGGCCTCGTATATGCTAGATAAACATAAAACACCAGCTGCTTGTGCTCGCCAACGGATTTCAATAATGTATGCACAGAAAGCAACTTCCTGTTACATCTGCATTATTTTTTAGATGGCGCCACTGTGAGTTACTCAGGTAATGCAGTGCTTTACCGTGAAGCGAAGAGATGATGAGGAGCAAGGTGTATTCAAGGCATTTCTTCATGTTTGAGGGGTCTAAAACACAGAGGAGGTTTAGAGGTCGAGAAACGAATACAAACAGCTGTGGTAAAGACAAAACAGCACATTTTACATAATGCATGGTCATTGCTTTTCAACAACAGGTTACTCTGCTGGATTAAAAGTTAAAATCGAAAAAAGGTTTATTTTAGATGGTTTATTTATTTTTTAGATTTAGGTATTTTTAATAGTTAATAAAACTCTCTTTCAAAGAAAAACAAATGCAAAGAATAGGCATTGTCATTAATCAATCACTGTCATTTCAAAATGTCTAAAATTGTTAATATGACATGTATGATGCACACTACTTTTATTCAACAAGGATTTATTAATCAAAGTTAAGTTTTTTACATTGTAACTATATATATATATATATATATATATATATATATATATATTCAAATAAACGTGTTCATCAAAGAATCCTGAGAAATAATGTAAAAAATTTATAAATAAATAAAAAATACAACACACTGAAAGTATGGTTTCCACAAAAATATGAAGCAGTGCAACTGTTTGCAAACAGCTGAAAAACATACATTTTTCTTGAGCAGCAAATCAACATAGAATGATTTTTTGAAAGACACTGAAAACTGGAGTAATGATGCTGAAAATTCAGCTTTGCATCACGGGAATAAATTACATTTTAAAATATATTCAAATAGAAAGCAGACATTTTAAATTGTAATAATATTTCACAATATTACTGTTTTTACTTTATTTTTGATCAAATAAATACAGTCTTGGGAAGCGTAAGAAACCTCTTATGCATAAAAGACTTCAAAAACATTATTATATATTTTTTTAATATATGATAATATAATATATTACTTTTTCTACCCAAAACATAAACGGATGGCATAAAAACTCACCCTGAGCATCGAAAGCTTAATCCTGAGCAGCTAAATTCCACTAACTTCCACCCACAATAACTTAGCTGTGATATTGTCTTTGCTTTTATAGTGCAACCACATCTGTCCCTTTGGTTTTATGGTCTTGTTTGTACACTAACTATTCGCAGGAACAAAAACAATAACACGCCAGGACTTGGGCTGACCCAAAAGCTCCGAATATCTGTGATCGCCTCCTCTTGTTTGAAGCTATCATGTCTAGAAGGATTGTGTCCACAGAGCTACTGTAGCAAAGTGACAGCTAACCTCAATATTCACTTTAAATGCCCTGTTTCCACAAAAACTGGCCACAGAGAACTTCACAAAGCCAGCATCCATGAAAGAGCTGCAACTGCTAAAATGTTATCACGGACACCAATGCTAAAATCCCTAAAAGATGGTGTCATAATCATAAAACCTGGACAGTTGGAGCACCAAGACAAACTTTAACATATGCCCCAATCAGGCAAATCACCTGACTTGAATATTATCAAACTACTGTAGGGCGTTTTGGGGAAAAAGAGCGAGAAGCAGATTCCCTCCTTCAACATTTCTGAAGCAACTGGTAGATGTTCTGAGAGACAACATTCAACTGGAGACTATTCAGTATCTGTATCAAACGCCTTCAGGTTGGAAGCTGTTTTAAAGGGAAATGGGGGTAAAATGTCTTAATGAAATATTGCCTATTTCCCAGGTGTTCACATGACTTTTTCTTACCCCTATAGATGCTAAGTGTCACAAACAGGGAAGGATGAGGA